ATCTTATCTTATCTTATCTTATCTTATCTTATCTTATCTTATCTTATCTTATCTTATCTTATCTTAATCATATCTTATCGTATCTTATCTTAAGAACATTCATTGTGATGATTCAGATAAAAAAGTTTCATAATAAATCTTAACCATAACGCTGAGTTTAGTTAAGTAAAATATTTCAACAGTAAAATCTATAATCAAACACTGTGGTTTCACAGTCAAATTCCTAGCAATATTTGCATAAAAACAAAAGAACAGTGAAATAACATTTTCTGTGATTTTATTTTTTATACATTCACAAAATTATGAATAAAAAGATTATTTTATTATCTAATTAGGAAGAAGAAAATATCTCTTTAATGTTTAAGATGAGCTGTTGAACAGAGTTCTGTCTTTAAAGGGCCTGTCAGAGGCCTGAGGTCAAGGACAGTTTTGCATGTTTATTTCACTCGGGGTGACCACTACAGGAACATTTGTTGATCAATAAAGTGTTTTTGACTTTATTTCTATTGTTGCACTTGTGACCTCTGCAAAGAATGCCATTTCTTTTTAAACCCACACACACTTTATTTTCAGTTGTTTGGCTTAACACTGTATTTATCCTGTTTTCCACATCAACATCTTTCTTTTGCTTCACCACTTTTACAGCCTCACAGGTGTGGACTGCACACCTGTGTGACTCAGGTGAACCACTGTGACTGTCCCAGGACATTGTGTAGACTCCCTCATCTCTGCTGTTTGATAGTTGTAGCCTAGTGACATATTGCTGGAACAAGAGGAAGGAAAGGTGAAACTACATTACAAATATTTGGTCTTTTTAAACAGGGCCACCAGATCAAATTAACTTTTCAGTAATACATGTAAGAAACCTTATTAATATCAGCTCTGAACAGCTGAGGGCTGAATCCATTCATCAAAACGTTAATACCAACAAGAAAGATTGAAAACAATTCAAGATTTTATTATAAAGTTAAAATAAATCAAAAATAAAATCAACAAACAACTAAATTAATAACAATAGAAACAATATTCTAAGTGTTAGCATCAAGTGATTACTCTGAATCTGATTTAAACACTGTTATTCACCTAACAATAATTAAATAAGGATAACATAATGATGGAAGAATATCTGAAAACTGATTATAGGTTTTTCTAAAACAAGAATCTTTTGAACAGGGTGTTTGGAAATAGAAGCTCATTTTAGAGTTTCCACATTGAAGAACTTGAAAAAATAAGAATATTTTTTGTTAAATTCGGAAGAATTGTTAATATTCACACAAACCAAACATTGTTTTTTTTTATCATCACCAGAAAGGAAATTTAAGGTGCCTTATTGTGGTACAGATGGAGTAAGATAGGCCTATTACTGTATTATTACTGTATTATTGCTGTATTATTACTGTGTTATTACTGTATTATTACTGTATTATTGTATTATTACTGTGATATTACTGTTTTATTACTGTATTATTGAATTATTATTGTATTATTACTGTATTACAGTATTATTACTGTATTATTACTGTATTATTGTCTATTTACTGTAAGTAAACAAATAGGAGATGAAAGGAGACCAGCACACAAAGATTAGCTTAAAGTATTGTGCCAACTTTGTGTGACTGCTCAGACATTTGTGTGCATTTGTTTCTGTGGAAAAGCTCTCAGACAAAATGATGTATTTCTTCTTAAACTCTTCCTCCTCCTCTAGAAGCTGGCTGGTGTGTGTCCAAACTACATGTCTGAGGCAGCCATAAAGTATCCTGATGCATCTCAGTAATCCAGGTAAAAAATCAAAAGGAAAAAAATTGTATAGGTCCTCTGGACGGGTTCTTCTTTAATGAAACGTTTCGTCTCTCCTCCAAGAGACTTCTTCAGTCAGAGAGTTTCAGGTAAAATTCAGGCTTTAAAAAGCCTGAATTTTA